TGGGGCTGGCAGGTCAGGGAGCCGGGAGAGCCGGAGCTGTGAGGAATGTGCGGAGCTGGACGCGGAGAAATGTGTGGTGTTTGGCTAATTTCAGTGGGATGAGGTCACCATCCTTTTTGGACGTTGTTTATCGAGGGATCACTAGGGAGGAACAGTTGGATGCGTGATCCTGAACGGACAAGCTTTGCGTCATAGTTGCCGCTTACCGCATCTCCCCGCGTCCCGAAATCCATCCTGACCTCCTCGGTCCTCATCCCCCGGATCTCCGTAACGCCCACGCCAACCTGCCCTGCAAACCAAACATCTCTAGCTCCGGCTGTGTCCTCACCAGCCCCTAAAATACGAAGCTTGGCTCGCACTGCTAATTCCCCCCGTGTGTGCTGGTTTTTTCCTCATCCCCCTTCTCGGCTTTCTCTCTCTCTCTCCCGCCTTTTGCTGCTGTCCCCAGTAAGAGGCTGCCTCAGCTGTCAAGACAACTGCGCCTTTTGAAAATGGTGCCGTGAACCTGCCATCAGAAAGGCAATCTAAGACCGATGTCTTAAACGTTCCCATCACTTGTTCAAGATGGCTTAGCTCTGGACCGGCCGACAGGACTGTGCACCGAGCCTGGATTTCTCCAGCGGCGGGGCTGCAAATAAGTTTCTGTCAGAGACAAACCTGCAATTTCCTTCTTTGCCACTCTTTTTGCCGTTGTATATGTGTCCTCTTGTTTTGCCCTAAAAAAAAAAAAAATAAAAAAAAAAAGGAAAAAACATAATAGGATCCCAGTGCTTGCAGCTAATACGTGTTCTTCCCCAAAAAGAGAAAACAAATTCTTATACCACCTAAAAGATGCCAGAAGCTTCTCCACATTCAAAAATGTCCGAGCCAAAGGGATGAAGTGTTGATCTAATGCAGTAGCTACCGCTTTGAGTGCTTCAGTGGTTTTTTATTTCTCCGTATCACTACTACAAGATTTTAAAGCTTTCTGATACAGTTTTTACAGTGAGATACGTCACCGATGTCTTGTCTTTAACTGGTTTGGGGTTTCGTGTTATAAGCAATGCTTTCACTGGGGCCCGAAGCGCTGTCTCAACGCCGCTGCTACCTGCTGCACTCCTCGGCAGTGTTTAGAATGCAGTTGTTGGAGGAGTAGCTACTTAGAATAAGAGAAATAACAGTAAAGATGATGGAGTAACTCTGTATTTTAGTAAAATGGTTCGAAGAAATAAAATAATAGGGCATTACATTGAAAAATTACATGAGAGCGAAGAATTTAAAAAAAAAAAATCCATCAAGAGAAGGGTGGTAATCCATTACAAACTTGGGCAGGGATAGTTATCTCCAAAAACTGTGGGGAAGATACAGAGGAGCGAATATCATGTGATAATGGGAAACTGTCATTTCTCAGATACAGACTGGAAAATACTGCTGAGAAATGGTAGGGCTTAAATGTCCTCGAGTGCTGCAGAAACTCCATTTCTCGAGCAAACAGGGAGTGAGGCCGTGCAAGAGGATGCAGGTTTAGGCCTAGTATTAATAAGCAGCCAGGGCCTTCCAGAAGGCCACGGTATTGAAACTAATCTTGAACCGAGTGATCACGGACTAATCCGGCTTATGTTAAACTGCAAGAGGGACAAACGTAGATCTTTCTTTGTCTAAGGCTTGGGATCACAGAACAGCAGAGAAACAGAGGAAATTCATGAGGTTGACAGACCAGAGGAACCCAAAGAGATGATTTTTACCCAGAGATACTGAAAGAAGCTGCCAAAGGAAATTACAGTTGCCAAAGCAAGGATTTGTTCAAGGTCAGAAGTAGTACCCTGTGTCTCAAACACTAGAGTGAAGGGAGAAAGGTGGTGATGCTGGCAGCCTTCGGCCCACTCGCCTGAGCTTACTCTGCGGGTGAATTCCTCCATGAGAAAATGACTGTGAGCAGCCAGCGGGAATAGCTGTGGAAAAGGCTTATGTGAGCCGATGATGCACGAAGCGGGGTATTTTTAGTAGAGATAGGGAAGTATTAATATGGCTTTACACAGCACAGCTAAGGACCCTCGTTTGGAAAATTATGTCCTGTTCTGGTGACTGACGATCAGAAAAGATTGACTCGGGTCGCCACAGGTGTAGAAGAGAAATACTGGGGTGACAGGGGAGCAGAGATCCCGTTGAATGGGAGCTGCAGGCAAGCAAGCTTGGCTTCCTTAGCTAGGCAAATGAAGCCAAACCAGCGTGACGATTCACTTTAAGTACATTCAACCTGTAAATTATCAAGGAAGGAGAACTATTTAAATTACAGAATCCTACTAGCAAGAGGATATATGGTTATAAATTGGCCACGAGGACACTTAGACTGGAAAGGTTTCTAACCATTCCATGAGGAAACAAATGGTACTCCCAGCACAAGCAGCTAAATGGTTTTAAATCAGGGCTAGATACTTCAGTGTGTCCAAGGGGGATTTAAAGGGGACTGAGCTGCTCACCTTTGGCTTTGTACTTGGACCATTCCCAAGCTTTGGGGCTTCTTCTGGTCCCCTACCCCATCTCTGTTTGGCTTGTGAGGGTTTTTTCAACGGCCTCTGAAGCACTGGAAATTAGTCAGAGACAGGATGTAGAAAGGACACTGGTGACATTAAATCATCAGGTGGTTTGTGGTGCATCTTGCTCACAGACGTACGGTTGAATTGATTGCCAGATTTGGGTCACAACGAAACCTTTTCTCTCAGGTGAGCCTGGCAAAGGGCTGTTTGGTCTTTTTTCCCCCTGACACTTTCTCAGAGTCTTCTGGGAGATTTATTTGATAAATATCTTGTTGCAGGAGTACTGGTTATAGTGTTCTGTGATATTGTGCTTGAGAGGTTTGGTCTTTTACTGCAGCTCTTAAGTTTATTACCTGCTACTGAAAAGCATTTTGTGACCCTCGATGAGTGGGGGCTGCTGGAAAGGTGTTCTGTGAGACATCCTAACCGAGATGGCCATTGTGTAGTTGTAGAGAGGGATTGCTTCCAGTCCTGTCTTCCCAACAGCAGCATCAAAAGGT